TGTCCGAGATCTGCCTGCTGTCTGATGTGTGTGCATGAAGCCTTCGAGATGCTGTGCTAACCCTCAAGCACTTAACAGGCTTTCAACACATCTTACCATTTATCCTACGGGTTTTGCACCTGTAATTAAACTGTGGATAGAAAACAGGTGATGAAAGACTCAACTTAGTTATTAATCTACAGTTAATTTTTGTGTTACAATGCTTTTTGGTATCTCCAGAAATAAGCTTACAAATGTGTCTCTAAAATGTTGGCATGGAGAATGGCAAAAAGAGTAGTGGTATCTGGGCCTTATCTGATACATCAAGCATAATGAATTAGGCTAAATCAGACCTGAAGAAATTTTGTCCGAATGATTAAACCTTTACACGCTTTGCTGACATGTTGCTGGTATCAGAAATCTATGCCTCTGAATCTAGTGGGACCGCTTGTAAGAGTAACCAGTCATCAATTTGACTGAGAGGTTGTCTTAACTAACCTGACTTTGGAAGGTTTCTGCTTTCTCTGGAAACACAAACCTTTATTTATGTTGCAGTCACTTTTCTCAGTGAATTAAGAATATCTGTACATCTGCTAACTCCCTTCTTATTTAAGTGAAGAGACTTGAAAAGATATACACTAAATAGTCATATAGGATGGTAGAATACAATTTTGTTCAAGAAAAAGCCCTGTGCTCAGGTCACTTTACTCAAAAGGAGCTGAATGAACTATAAACTGTTGGTATTTAATCATTAAATATCCTGTTACCTCCTTCCACATTAAATTATTCAAGACTTCTGTGCGAAGGACTGCATAAAAGATAGCTATATGAATGTTCTTTTCATTGTGCCACAGACTTTAAACAGGAAAACGATTACCCCTAAACTATTTGTTCCCTTTTGGATTTTCGAGTCATCAACTCAAACTTTGTCTGGTTTTGGATGAATTTGAAATAAGGTGGTACAATTTATCTGTTGTTTACAGGGGCTTTTGTAAACCAAATCACTGGACCTCTTTAAAAAAATTACAGAAAGCTTGCCGCAACCTGTAATCATAGAAGAATTCGTATTATACCAGAGTAGGATTAATAATGCATGTAATTATAATATACAATTTTCTTTAGGCTTTTCTAATTATAAAAAAATTACAGATAACATCAACAGTGTGATTCTGAAATGCCTCGCATTTATTATGTAGCTCTCTTAATCAATGCTCTGCCACTGGAAATCAAGTCAGAATGTTATTATGGTCTCTCCTTCTGGATTTAATTACAGCAGTAACTCATGGCTCAAAGTCTGAGCAAACACACCATGCAGTTTATAGCTTTGAAGAACAGCTATTAATCCTGCCGTCTACCTCCCAGTGCAAGGCAATGAAAGCATTTTAAAAATCTTTATGCCTGAAGATAAACACAGGCTTACGCACAGGCTTTAAGGTGGGGGTGCAGGCAGCCCAGCTGCTGTGTCTGTTCTGCGCACGCACGGCAGAACATCCTCACGGTGGACAAACCTCTGAGATTTTTGCCGCACAGACTAAAGGTGCTGTTATCTTCCACACTTACCATTTGTGAGAATGATTTCAGGATGGCAGCTCCTGTCCGTTGGTAACTTGGAGTCAGGATAGAGGAATCGGTTTCCATCATGAATCTCTAACCTATCAATTAGCTGCAAATGGAAATAATGCACTCTTCCAAGAACTTGAATTAATATCAGCAACTGCTTTTAGTTTGGCAGCAGCCAGGGAGGATGTCTGTCCTTCCAAAGCAGAAACATGTTCAGCCTCATGCAAGCAACTGGGAGGACAGAGCTGTCAGAGAGGGCTGGGGAAGGGTGAGGTGAGGAATCCAGAAGAGTGAACATGAACATGAATGTTTGTTTTTGATACTAAGTCTTTTTAAGAAAATCTTGCTTTTCAAAGGAAGGATGGTTAAAATACCCTACTAGTGCCTATGTCTTTCAAAAAAGAATCTAAACCATAATTGAATAAGATTCACTTGTCCTCTCCAAGCTACCATCTTGAGCATCCGCTTTCTATATATGCTCAATATTTTGAGAGAGAGTAAATTGAAAAATAACCAGCCTGGTTATTTTACTGTGTGGTTTATTTGAACTCACCAGGGTTGCAAGGGACCAAGACACATCTGCTTATGTTCCCAGCTGGCTGGCTGGACCGACAGGCATTTGGGAATCTGCGGGAAGAAACCAAGGAAACATTTGCACTTGACTGATGTAACTTACAACCACGCTACAGTCTGCTCTGCAAGGTTATCAGAACTAGTCAGAAATGGGTTTTTTTTAACCTAAATATTATTTCATCAGGACCTGCCAATTGTTTGAAGTGGAAAATACTGGCAAGAAAGACTAAGGTTCGGCAGATTGTTCTGTTTGAAAGACGGTGACATTTCAAAATTGATATTCTGAAATGGCCACATGCCTTCTGGAAACAAAAAGAAATAAAAGATTGGTTTTTCACTGAAACTTCTCAGAAACATAGACATGAAGTACCATGACTGACCAGTCTGAGTTTTGTGTGTTTTTGATTTGCCAGCCCTTTCCACATTGCAACATTTTGGCCTTCGTGGAACAAGTTTGTTTTGGCTTTGTTTTTTTTTTTTTAATTTCTGCGAATTGTCTGTAACAGCAATTTTTTCCCAATCCTGGTTTCCAACTTATGTTCCAGCAGAACCTGGGACCCTTTTCACCCCAGTAAGCCAGACAGGAGGGGCCAAAGGCACAGCAGGACTGGGTACAAGATGTCTTGTGTCACACAGGAGAGGATAAGAGTAGAAAAAGCACTTGGGTACGAGCTCAAGCTAAGTCGACAGTGAAAACGTGGCTTTACTCTCATCTCATCTAACATTAACCTTCCAAAAGCAAGATCTCTTGTCAAGCATCTAAAAAGGTTGTGCAAGCTTCCACTGCACTGCCCAGGGAGACCTGAGCGCCCACTCATAGCGGTGAGCAGTATAGCATTGCCCTTTTAAAGATATTTGTCTCCTTTGGCTACAGGAGGGGTTCTAGGAAGACTAAATATCAAGGATGTTTAAATGGCATGAAATGAGCACCTTTGCGCTCTTTCTGCTTGGCAGTCTATTAATCTAAAAGAAAAGCCTGAGAAAATAAGGCTAATTAATCCCAACTACTGTGGACAGTGTAATTTAATTTTTTTCAAAGATTGGCATTGCTTAGGCTAAAACCTGCCTCAAAACCCCTTCAGCTCCCATCCCCAGACACAAGAGTATTCGTGTTTTATACAACAAAATATACTGCCAACTGTATTTTCTAAATTTGCTTTCAAACTCATCACAGGAAATAAATCTTACAGGAAACGGAGGAAATCAGTAACTCTACCATATTCCCAGAAAAATCTGTGGGAAGAGCCTCCTGTATTCTGGATTGAATCCATTCTGCTGTTTATCACTGGGGATACAGGGGAAAAAAAGCAACTTCCCCTTCCAGTGTTCAGATCTACTGCTGAAGGGAGCTGTGTCCTTGATGGCAATGAGCCGTGGTGTCAGCTCTGAGCAGAAGAAACTGGGCTGGAGAAGGAGAGGGCTTCTGGCTGCAATAGTGTGACACTGACACATAAGGGTTTAATTTCAAGGGAGGAAGTGGAGCAAAAAGGATTGCAAAATCTGGTTCCATAATGGTCTGTGATTCTGCTTGCTGTGCTTGGTATAATACTTGTGGTCTCAGAGGAAATGTCAGCTGGTCCTCCTTGGTTCGAAGCAAGATGGGAAATGGGTGGAGTGCAACGTTAAAGTGAGAACAGGGAAAAGCAGGGATCCTTGGTGCATCAGCAGGGACAAGAAGAGCCCTGTCCTCTCATCCTGATTGAGAAGAAGAAACAGGAAAGTATTTAAACATTTCTTCACATGCCATTTTTCCTTTTTTTTTTTTTTTGAGGCTGTTCTGTATTTGTCTGTGAATACTGGAAACTTTTTGACATTTGTTTTGCAATATGCACATGAAGGCATACACACGCCCCAGGTCGCACGTCTCCATGCTCCTCGCAGACCTCAGCCTTGAGTTGCTTTGTTCCAGGGTATCCCAAAAACTGTCTGATGAGACGGCTCACAGGCTGCAGGAGGTAATTTGCTCTGGGAACTGAGAGGAGAGCAATCCATACAGCATCCTTAGAGCAAAGCAACACAAAGAGGAACTATTGCGGAGTGTAATTACTCTCTCGTAATCCTCCAGGCTTGCCTTGCCACAGCATTGTGCTGTGAGATCTGTATGAATTCAGAGGTTTCTATAATTCCCTTTGCCATTCTCTGATGTAGAGGGGAAGGTTGTTTTCATAAGAAGGCAATCACTTACCCTTTATTTACTGTGAAGGATGAGGACGGGGGACTCAGACTCCCAAAGCTTTTCACAGTTGGTTTTGTTGTCTAATTATCCTGTGGAAGAGCTTTTCCCGGCAGCTCGAGGCTGCGTCCTCTGCAGCAGAGCCTGGGGGACTGCTGCCCTTGCAGAAGGCTTCTCTAGAAGTAAGTGTTACGCAGTGGGATAATGCTGCAGCCCACATGCCTTTTTCACTTTGTTTGTTTATTTATTGTTAATGGCATCACATGAATAAAGAAACGTGCCTTCCGTATTGTCTTTTGAAGGCGGATAATTGTGTTGCTGTCGCATTCAGTATCAGCATGTCATGCCTAAATGAATTTACATATATCCATCTTTTCCTTCAAAAAGCAGCCCTGCCGAGTTTTCCCAGTGGTTCAGTCGCAAAACACTGCTGTAAAGCAAGTGTTGCTTTATGTTGTCTAAATAGATGTGGCTCCTCTCTTGTTCTCACTGTCAGTCTTATTGTTAAAATGCTTTGAATTTCCCGTGAATTGAAATTCTCAGTTCCAAGGAGAAAGAAGTTATTACTTGTAATTAGGATTATTGGGCAGTAGCACTTTTCACTCTGAAGTTAATGAGTTATGATCAGAACATATCCTTTTGTTAGTTTAAAATATTCCCAATGTTATTCTGATATTGTGATTTTTATTTTTTTTTTTTTTAAGCTTAAATAACGGTCCACTTAAAACGGCAGAAACACATGGCTTCTCGGGCTGTATTAACGTGAGCCTGTGTCACCACTGGCTGCAGAAGGATCCGACTGTGTCCTTTTCACCAAGGTAAAAAATAACTTGGAGAATGTTGTGCGCTACAGTCTGGAGAAACTCTTCTTCCCTTCACCTTCCAGCAGGATGTTTTCTGTGACTGAGCAGAGGAAAAGGCACCACATTTCATCAATGACACTTAATCGATGGTGGGGTTAAGGTAGGCATTCAGCTGGTGTGGGTCAAGGAGGGAAGCTTATAAAGGTAGCATAGGAAGCCAGGATGTTGGAAAAATTTCTTCCAGTAAGGTAGATTTTAAAGTGGTGAGCTTCAAAGTCTAGAAACAATTCTTTGGTCATCCAAAGCCTGTAAATGAGAATAGTGTCTGCAGGACGCAACACATTTCCAAACAATTACAAGAAATCTAAATGGAGTTGTGAAGCTGCAAAACCCTTAAAAAAGAAAGGAAAAGGGACATAATTCAGACAGTGAGCCCAAACAACAGCATGGGTGTCTCAGATGTTTTTAGTAGACTTTGTACAATAACTTATTAACTCAAAAAGAAACTATTTGAATTGCCAGCTGAATTCTTGAAAAATGAGGGAGATGATGTTTTAAAAAAAAAGAGATGTGGACCTGCAATAAGAATGGTTTTAGTCTGTGCAAGTTTCTGAAAAGATCACAGCCTCAAAAACAGAGGAACATTTTTAGGTGGGAGGAAGCAATGAAAAACATTCTGAAATGTTTTTGTTGTGGTTTTGTGACCTTTTACCAAATGCTCCAGGCCTGCATGAAATCATAGAATCACAAAATGGTTTGTATTGCAAAGGACCTTAAAGTTCATTGAGTTCCAACCCCCCTGCCATGGGCAGGGAGAGCTCCCACTAGAGAAGGTTGCTCAATGCCCTCTGGTTTTGAACACCTCCAGGGATGGGGCATCCACAACTTCTCTGGCCAATCTGTTCCAGTGTCTTGCCACCCTCACATTAAAGTATTACTTCCTAATGTCAAATCTAAATCCACCCTCTTCCAGTTTGAAGCCGTTACCCCTTGTCCTATCGCTACACTCCCTGATGAAGGGTCCCTCCCCATCTTTCCTGTAGGCCCCCTTTAGGCACTGGAAGGTTGCTATAAGGTCTTCCCAGAGCCTTCTCTTCTCCAGGCTGAACAATCCCGACTCTCTCAGCCTGTCTCCACAGAAGAGGTGCTCCAGCCCTCTGAACATCTTTGTAACCCTCCTCTGGACATGTCTTTCCTGTGTTGTGCGCTCCAAAGCTGGATGCAGTACTCCAGGTGGGGTCTCACCAGAATTGAATCTCCTCCCTTGGCCTGTTTCTTTTGATGCTGCTGAGGTTATGGTTGGCTTTCTGGGCTGCAAGTGCACATTGGTGGCTCATGTTGAGCTTCTCATCAATGAACACCCCCAAGTTCTTCTCTTCAGGGTTGCTCTCAATCCATTCTCTTCTCAGCCTGTATTTGTGCCTGGGATTGCCGTGACCCAGGTGCAGGAGCTTGCACTGTGCTTTGTTGAACTTCATGAGGTTTGCATGGGCCCACCTCTCAAGCCTGTCCAGGTCCCCGCTGGATGGCTTCCCTTCCCTCCAGCGTGGTGACCATACCACACAGCCTGATGTCATTGGCAAACTTGCTGAGAGTGCACTCTATCCCACTGTCCATGTCACCAACAAATATATCAAACAGTTCCTGGTCCAGTACCGACCCCTGAGGAACACCACTTGTCACTGATCTCCATTTGGACATTGAGCCATTGACCACAACTCTTCCAGTACAACAATCCAGCCAATTCCTTATCCACTGAGTAATCCATCAGTCAAATGTATGTATCTCCACTTTAGAAACAAGGATGTCATGCAGGACAGTGTCAAATGCTTCGCAAAAATCCAGGTAGATGACATCAGTTGCTCTTCCCTTATCCACTAATGCCGTAACACCATTGTAGAAGGCCACCAAATTTTTAGGCATGATTTGCCCTTAGTGAAGCCATGCTTCACCTCCTTATTTGTGTGTGCCTTAGCATATTTTCCAGGAGGATCTTCTCCTTGATCTTCCTGGGCACAGAGGTGAGACTGGTTGGCCTGCAGTTCCCCAGGTCTTCCTTTTTTTCCCCTTTTAAAAATGGGGGTTATTTTTCCCCTTTTTCCAGTCAGTGGGATCTTCACTGGACTGCCATGTCTTCTCAAATGTGACAGATAGTGGCATAACAAGTTCTTCCGCCAGTTGCCTCAGATGGATGCATCTCATCAAGTCCCATGGATTTCTGCACTTTGCCTTGCCTTCTGCAACTTGGGCAGTGTTGCTAGAGCATTTAATGTTGAGCTATGGGGTGGATTTGTTTGCTCTTATGTAAAGCATGCTCAGAAAACATCCCATCTTTGGGCAAACAACACTTGGAGTCCTTAGGCAGACCCTGCCATGACCAGCCAACCTTGAGAAGGCTCTTCAGGCTAACATTTGACTTGATGTATAAATCTGGGCTCAGGTCTGCATTGATGCTTAGCTACCTGGTTCCTAATCGAATAGAGTTAAAAAAATACTGCTCTAGTTTTGGACCGGTATTACTGAGAATGTTGGAAGGCGAGTATGTATGAGCAGTATACTCATATTCTTTCCAGAGATGTTTTTGGTGCATCAGAACCAAATTGCTGAATTTATTTGCGTATTTGGTTATCTTAGAGTGAGGTTCATGACTGGAGAATATATGTCCTAGCCTGTGTCCCTTTCTTTCCTAATGTCTTACCATCAATTACAGCATTACTTACCCATGTTTTCTATTTCTAAATACATCTGGAGTTTTGTTTTTAATTATTCATTGAGACAGAGACTTATTTTTTACCAGACTTTCTGAATGTGCTCTTAAAAATCTTGGAGCCAACCTGTGACAACCAGAGGAAAAACGGGACTGGACAACAGAGCGTGTGGCGTCAAGGCAGTTGTGTAAAGAGATGAGGTAAGATTCAGCATTTACTTCTAATGTGCCTTCTTGAGACAATTCCTATTGGAATTTTGTAAGACAATTGCTTTTAATAAATAGGTTGTGACAAGCAATTACACACTACTCCACACATCTTAAGAAAGGAAGAACAGAATAATTGAAAATAGGGCTGGGAGAGCTCTTGGGAGGTCACCCAGTCCATCTCCTTGTGCAGGGGGGACTGGCTTCAGACTAACTACTCCTGGCATATGTTTGCCTCATGTTTTCAAAAACCTCCAGTGACAGAGGTCCCACAACATCCCTAGGAAATGTTTTCAGGGCTTATCACTGCTTAATGTTAGAAACTTCTTCCCTACTGTCTTGCTCATGTCCCCCTCAAGGCCAGCTCAACACCATTGTTTCTTTCAAGCTCACAGGGAGCACAGGGGATGCTCATTTCCTTTCTTCTACAGCTACAAGTCCATCTGTCTGGAGACTGCTATCATGATTCCTCTTAGTTTTCTCCTTTCTAGACTAAACAAATCCCATCCTTTTAATCTTTCCTGATAATTTATGGGCTTTAAACCTTCCTTCATTTTTGTTGTTTCTCTCTGGACTCAGACTAATTGATCTGTGTCCTTCCTGGAAGCATTGGCCCAAACCTAGGTTTCAGTGGCTGCATTTTCTCATCCTGATCTTTGTTTTGGAAGGGGTGCATTGCTCATTGCAGCAAGGATTTTCAGGAGCCTTTGTTAAAACAGTCTTTGGTAAATGCCCAGTCTTGGATCTAATCTGGTGTTTGGATAGACAGTACAGACTAGAGGAGCTTCAACATCTTTGCTCAACTCCAATACCCTAAGAAGTGCTAAATTTTAAGTGGGATTAGGAGGTGATAGAAAGACGATAATAATACGTAGTGGCACCATCCTTAATGATGTCCAATTCTTGGAAATACTTTTGTACTGATCTCTGTTGTCTCCGGCTGTCTATGTCAGCTAAAATTTCTCCAGCAGTTCATATGCAGAAGTGACTTCCCAGTGTGAGCGTCTGAGCATGAGAGCAGGTCAGGAGAGCCAGTTATGATGCAAACTTTGTAGGGCTAAATAGCCCTATAAAATTTGTGTTATGGGGTATGGTCAAGAGGATTCTCCCCTCCTGGAAGAGATACTGACATTTTTGGCTTGTATTATGCTCCTTTAATCCTGAAACCTCCATTGGTGGTGGCAAAACACCCACTAGGGATCACAGCCAGGAGGTCTTACAGTAGGTCTCTGTCCCAATTGAGTAGGGTTAGGATGGAAAGGGTTTCTTTTCCCAAAGCAGCTGAAGGAGTAGATGACTTTTCCAGTTACACAGAGCTCCAAAAAGCCTCCAATGACCTTAGGGTTAGGCAACACAAACATCATCATCTGAGTGAAGTTTTTTTTGGGAAAAAGTGTCAGCAGATAATGGTTTGATTTGGTAGGACCTTTATTAATTTGAGAGGAAGAAAAAAACAGTTGTTGGCTATCCTCTCCACTGGTAATGTTAACTGGGAGATAGGTATCCCTTCAAAAATAAGCAATTATAATTGCTTGACTATAATTTTTTAGGTTCCCAGAGCTTTTGCTTGGAACTGAGCTGATACTGCAGCCTGTCCTGGGTATCTAGAAAATAAAATGAAGGGAAATACCCTTGCTTTCAGTATGTGAGGTTAAACTTGTTACTACCTCTCTCTGTTTGGAATTTCTGCATCCAACAGATTGCACACTCTTTTAAGTAAGCAGAGTTTCAGTGTTTTCTGCCATATAGTGTAATAGCACATAAAACAAGAGAAAGAAAAGGAAGTTGGCTAATGCTTGAATTGTTCTGGTGTTTTCTCATACAACAGAATGGTAAATTGTTTTCCTTGGCTTTCTGGAAAATATCTGACCTTGATACTTCATATTCAATTTATGTAAACAATTACAAAAGCATCTGAGCCAAATAGAAAAGGCTATTTCTTGAAAACCTGCAGGGAATGCACATGGGAATTTCCCACATGCTGTGGCAATCTTAAAAATACCTCCTTGTAACCCCACAATATTAATGATTAACTCCGGAACTGTGAGTTTTTCCAGACTTCCACTGAACTTAGTGATTTGTGTGTTCAGCTGCGTGTATCAGGGAGAGGTAGTAAAAAAAAGTAATTTACCACTTTTAGTAACTTGTGTTTAACAAACAATCTGCCACATTTTCCCCTTGAAAATCAGGGATTTCTGCAGATTGCTCAGCTGATAAATATCACAGTATGGGAAATGCTGTTTTGTGGCTAAGTGCGTGCTGAGAGGCTCTTGCAAGAACGAGCTGGAACCAGTTTTGTTCTTTACAAATTACTCAAAGGCAGAGCTGCTTTGATCAGGACACTCACCCACACATTGCAGCATGAACCTTCAGCGATGTGTCGAACATTGTTGATATCTTGTTTATATACATCTGAAATTCAGTATTAGTGTTAACTGTAAATTGTTTCCGTTACACTTGCTGGAGAAAAGAGAAGTAGATGAGTGCCCCTTGAGAGGTGATTTCCCGGAGCAGGGCTTTTCAAACAAGGAGATTCACATCACACAAAGTCTGTTTGGCTCATGGTGTGATGGGCAGCACCACTGACAACAGTTTGCAAGTGCAAGCTGTGGCATGAAGCTTTCAAAAGATGCTGAGTGCTGAACCCTCACGTATCTACACCAGCAGGCTGTCCCATAATAGTTAAGAATATTCAGCCTCTTGGATCACTTTTCTTTATCTTTGCTGGTCTTGTTTAATGTAGCAGCATGGTTTATCAACCATCCCACTGCACTCTTTGTGGCCGTGATAATATTTTTGTCATTAAAAATTTCTAGAGCGCAGCTTTTTAATTAATCCAGGTTGAGAAACTGGAGCACGACTGTCATGGGTGCCAAGTCAGTATTCAGTTTTATTGGGCAGAATAAAACTGTTTTGGAGTACCTTCAGAACCAGCACACCTCCATTTCAGGGTGTTTTTAATATCAACATATATATCCATCATTTAGTCGCGTGCGTATAATTTAATCTCTCATTACTTATCTATCTATGTTGCTGTTTATCTGTCTGTCTGCCTACTTATATAGTAGATTTTCTGGATGCTTCTTGGGTTGATATAAGTCTTTTTTTACTGGCAGAGCAGCCCCACCATCCTGATGACACAATCACACACAATTAATAGTCAGACTATCAGAGCTTTGCTGCAGCAGATGCTGGGAACTTACCTCCTGCAGTCAGAAAGGCTAAATGTCTCTACAAACTGGACTGGGAACCCAGGCAGCTGGAAGCAGATGGTAGTAAAAAAAGAATCAAGTTTTAGCTGCACAGAAAAAGGGAAATCTCTTTTTCCTTCTAGATGGAAAGATGTGTGTGCATGTGTATGCGCGAGAAAGACAGGGATGATGATTCTATGAATTTCTTTCCTGTGATTATATTTTTTTGGGCTAGCAGAGAGATTAAACAGAAGACACAGCCTTTTGGGGCCTTTAGTGGGTGCAATGGTTTGTGTTTGTGGGGAAACAGCAGAAAGTCTAACGGGTAGGGTGATGGGTTTGTATGCACAGACTGGATCATCAGCAAGATGCTCTGAAAACTGTTTGACAGCATCAAAGTGATCAAAATAACTTAATATGATGAAGTACTGCTGAGAGATTATACTAGTTATGAAACTTGCATTATTTAGTGAACATTCTTGAAACTTTAGCTCCTGTGAGCAGCTCGTTTAATAAAAACATTGGGTTCTAAAAATCAGGTTGACATGTGGTCCTTCCAGTCATAAGAAGTGACCTGGAAAGAGACCTGAGTGCACCTAAAGATTCAAAGGTCAGAAAGTCATGTAGGAAGAATAGACACCAAATCTTTAAAACTAGGATGTTTCAAAAAGCCCCTCACAACACCTTTTAAACAAAGGATAAGGATATTCTATCTTTTATCTTTTGCAATATTTTAAAAAAACTTCCTTAATCTGAATCCACAGTAGTTGTTTAAAGGACGTAGAGACTGGTAACTAGAAGGCAGTGAAATCTCATCTGAGAAGATGCTGACCCTTTCAAACTTTACTATTCTTGGGCTATTAATGTGGGCGTAATATACCGCTCGGCATCTATGTGTGTACATATAGCTATATATATATATATGCGCATTAGGTTTCCCTTCTTCTGTGCCTGATATACAGAGGATGTGGGTTTGTTTGAGCCCTGCTATGACATTTACCTTTCTGTCCGGCTGTAGAGGCTCACATGTTCAGCTTGAGATGTCCTGGGCTTGGTTGTTGTTCTCAAAATAGATGTTGGTGATCATTTTTGTGGGGTTTGGTTTAGAGTTCAGCCTGTGCTAGGGCACATGTGGTCAGGACATCTTGCCTCTGTAGACAGGAAGCAGATAACCAGCCGGTCAGTACGGTACATCTCTCTGTATCTGCTTGATTAATGCAGGATATGGGTCTGTCACAGCTTTTACCTTCAGATCTTGGCTCTTCAGTTGACCCATGCTTTCATCCTCAGAGAGCTTAATTTTCCTCCCAGATATGATTAATTTCACTGTTTTCCTAAAAAAAATTTCAACAAAACCCAAACAAGCTTAGAAGTATCCAATTACTGGCACTAAACTCATGAACTTTTGCCCCATTCAGTGTTTTCCATTTCCCATTACGTTCAGTTTGACTGGAGCCACATGCTGTCCCCGTTCCTAAGCTGTCCATTTCCTGCTGGAAAAAGGCAGGGAGTGACTCTGCATTGGCCGAGAGAGCAATAATACCTGCAGTTCTTTCTGTAATCTGTATGAATATTATACTGCTCTATATGTTACTAACACTTGTAAACCCCCTTGATTTTGAAAAGTAAAACATGGAAAAACTTGTTTACATAATGGCACTCACTGTACTATGGAACTTAAGGCTTATTATGGCATTATAAGAGCTTCACCTTACTGTCGTATCATATGGAGCTTGGCGTTCAGCAACTGGTTTTTGTTCCGTACCCTGCCACAGATCGATCTCCATATGGTTTATTTCCGTTTGGATAATTGCAGATATAAATTTAAGTGCCTGCCCTCTTTTAAAACTGTTGACTCCTTGTTTCCTCCAACATTTTCATAGCAGTTAGGCACTGTAGAAAATATTTCTTTGACTCATTTAAGAATTTTTATGTTATAACTGCATTGACCTATAGGGAAGACTCTAGGAAAACAAAACACCTGATTTTACCCTATTTTTCCCAAGTTGTTCTTTGTATTACACTCCTCTATTCTGTCACCTTTTACTTGCTTCCCTCTAAATTGAAGGCTGTTATACTGCCTTAAATCTCTCCGCCTATGGGAGTCTTTTTAGGCTGCTGAACATTGTAATTGACCACTTTTGACTTTCCAGGTTTTACTGCGTGTAGGCTCTACTTAAATTCAAGACCAGGTATGGCAAACAGAGTTCCAGATGAAGGCGTACTGTTAACTAACATAATGGCATTATTCATCCAACAATGCTCCTTTTAAATGACTTTTCTTTTACTGTTGCTGTGCAGCAGTCAAACACACCTTGTTCCTATGTATTTTGGCAAACAACGGGCATTAAATTTGAAGCTCAAGGCACTGGAGTTTTTAAGGTTGAGCATCCACTTTTTATGAAAACCGTTATGGTTACCTGGTTGTAAGTCCCATAAGGACCGAGGAATGCCCAAATCACCTTTTAAATTCACATCTATGCCTGTTATTCCTGGGAGGAACTCTTGGCTAACATGACTGGGGTGGCCTTGGTCTTCCTCCTGGTGGCAGTGAGTGCGGGTTATCTCAGCTTCACCCTGTGCCACTGACCTGAAGGAGAGGTTTATACAGTGAGATCTCAAGCTACAGAGCAACCAGTCTGATGGGAGGATGTGTCCTACCTTCCTGCACCCCAGAGTTATGCTTTATTTGGGGATGGGGAAGGCTGCAGAGGGTACACTGCTCACTCTGCTAGGGAGATGGTGCCTGGAGGAGATGCTCTGCTACCACCACTAAACTGGGTTTTGTTGACACAGCAAGAGACCTTGAGCTGACACTGGCTGTGTTACAGCACCATCTGCAAAAATATGCTGTATTACACAGAAACTGTAGCAGAAATAGGCAAAGGTGTTGCAAACCATGATAAAGTACACATTATACACGCAATCCTCTGGGAAGGAATCTAGCAGTTCTTGCTGAAGGACTCCTGAAATGATCCACCCAGCTTATGGGTGTGATAAAAACATGCAGGTAAGACACTGGTATGTCCTACCAGGTGGACAGAATAGGGATTTGAAGAAAAAGTAGTGTTGTGCCTGTACATGAAGCACAGGCTTGCCAGGACTTATTAACTGTGTGTTTGCCTCTTTGTGGTTTGATCATGACCATGAATGAGACAGCTCAGCCAAGGGGAGCCACAGAGATTTCAATTCTGACAACATTAACTAGGGAGAAAACCTGGAATGATGTTGATATTAGTCATATAGAAATCTCTGGTGACGCACAGTAACTGCGTATGAAATTACAAGGGATATGTAGTAATTGGCGTGAATATGAGAAAGTGATCATCTAAGATGGGGAAACTACCAGATATAAAACCAAAACTGATGATGAGCACACAGCCAGATCTATACTTGTACTAAAATTCTCATCTGTCCATTTGTACAGTGAAAGACATCTTTCCCCTTGAACGAGCCTGGAGGGGCCATGCAAAGTCTGAAAGTTCACGGTCTGTCACTGTCAGAAGAAGCTCTGACTTTTAAATAAGCCAGCTGGTGATCAGATGCTGTGACTTGTTATTTATTTTGCAAATCATACCTGCAGACATGTTTCGTTAGCAAAGTCACTGATTGTGACAAATGTGTATAACAAGTGCAGTCTTCTATTGATTCTCACATTCTATTTTCTGCTTTTGGTGGAAACAGATGGAATTCAATTTTCCCACAATTACTATTAGCCAAGAATAACATCACTTAAATCAGTGCGGGGGAGGTGGAAAGTTGCAACTACAAAACACACAGCCTGAAAAGCTGGATATTGAAATGTGACTTGCAAATAACCATAACTGATGTGTTATACAGGCCCCCATTCAGAAACAAACTTTAGCATTCTCTGGACTCAAAGTGTTATCTCCTACTGACATTATGCATGTGGTATTCTGAAAAAAGGATGATCCAGATTCTTCTTGTAGGTTAGTCTCATGGCATGACTGATGCTTAAATGGTAAACTTTCAGGACATTTTCCACTAAAAATAAACCCAGGGTAGGTTTAGATGTAGCTAGTGGTAATGTAAGGATACCCAATCATACAAGATAATTGCTTACCTTGCAAAACATTAAAGGAAATTCTTAGGAAATTGAACTGTTAGAAAAGAAGTCAATAATTAGGCATGCAATAAATCAATAATTTCCAAATATTCAGGCTGTTTTAGATGAAAATGTTGTGAATTTAGAGAGGATGCATTGCATAGCTAAAGTATGAATGCAAGAAAAAATCCTACACTCTGTGAATGTTAAGGGTAACTCAAGAGTTTAAAATTAAGAAATACCATACTTAAAGATTTTTCTTGAAATCCCACTTTGGCACTAATTATTTTGCATCATGCTGAACTCTCAGGTTATAGTTTCACAGATATTTTAGTCCCATTATTAAGCATGGCCTCTGGCTTTGTTTAGTGACTAATACGGGACTATTAGTTTCATCCTAGGCTTCATTCTGTCCTTTTCATTGTTACAGTATTTTAACAATTCCCCCAAACTATTGCATTTCTGTTCACAATGGCCTTGTAAAGAGGCATCACTGGATTTATCATACAGATAGATACTGAATGGAGAAAGACAATTCAGTATCAAAAAGGCACCAGGATAAGATGATTATGATCCTCTATTTTAGACCCGTCAGTATATTATGGTGCATTATGTATTCAAAGCAAAGATCCATGGAAATCTTACAGCTGGTGTCTATAGCAAGGCACATGAAAAAATAAGATGATCTGCCAATGGTCATCCATGAAATATTTTCTCCATAATACATGTGAAATCTATGGCTTAATGCCTTATAAAACCTTTTCTTTTTTTTAAGAACAGATTGCGATATCCAGCAGAAGAAGCTTGAGGAACTCCAGTTCTGTTCCTGCATATGGGGATTGGAGTTACACCTCCAAAGTTTTTTGGAAGTTGCAGTTTTAAACCTTAACGAGTTGACTGAAACTGTGTAAGATGAAGTGTCTGTTTTGGCCAAGTTTGGGCAAATATTCATAACAGCAGCAATGCCTCTCCTATGCCTGAAATGGCACTCCTGTCATATTTCAAGCTCCCAGAAGCATTAAGGTGAGCTGGAATATTTCATTTTGCCTTTTCACATGGCCAAAACAATATTTTTCCTTAAGAAAAAGCAGAGAAACTTTTGATGAAAGCTTTTCCCCAGACACGACAAGGCAAAGAAGTAAACCCAACCAAAATTTTTTGAAAGTGAATCCACATATTTGTGCATTATGAAGTGCTAATCAAGCCGCCTCTGTCCAAGCAGTCCTGTTTTGCTCACAGCCTGAATGCAGAATAATTAAAAAATGGAAATCTATATTCCTTTGTGCAGCATTTATAATTTCTAAAGGCACTCAGCCGGTACCAGTGATTCATCTTTCAAATGGGGCAAGGTAAGCATCAGTGAGATGGCTGCTCAAAACCTACAGCTACCTCTGGAGTGGATGATTTATGGGGCAGGAAGGCTGGGAAGCACTGGGTATGGGAAGGCAGGGTGGTATGACAGACCCTGGATGCCAGTTTTGCTGGGCAAGGGTTGCATTTGGCTGAGGAGACCCAGAGGTTGCTCATGGCCAAGTACAGGAAAGGATGAGTCAGGCTCTTCACACCTGATCCACCACTGCTAGTTCATCCAGTACAGAAATGGCAGCATCCCCAGCTCCCAGCTGGGATGGACTGAGCTTCCATCCCTTTGCACAGTCGTTTGTACCAGAGCGAGGTGGATGCATTGGCAATGGGGTTCTGGGAACACCAAAGCTGGTCCCTGTGGGTGTGGAGTGACACTTCTCCTGCAGCCTTTCTGCACCCTCTTTGCCCTCAATGGGTCTTGTGGTGACACGTTTTCCCTTTTGCAGCAACAGAGCCGTGTGTTAAAAGGCTGTATTTTAAGCTGAGATTGCATCTTTGCTCTCCTCACTGTTTTCTGTCATTTGAATGTTTCTCAAGAAATTACTCTGTGGGTTTAAATTTCTCACGTTAGAACCCGACAATGTATCAGCATCTGATACATATTTAAATAACTTTCCAGTGCCCTTGTTTAATTCACAGCACTGAATATTCAGTCAAATTATGAAGCACACTGGCGTCAGGACGTTTCCAACCCTCCTTTTATTTTTTTTTTCACTTGCAGCTTCCAGTTCTAACATCCTTGTTAGAAGAAGCAAGTGGAACCAAGTGAGGACAAAAGAGACTGAGCAGCTCTTACTGGGAAGGTACTTCTAAGCAAAGAGGTAACAGGCTTAGGATCTAAGTACGCAAGACTTGCAAAAAACTGAGATGTTAAAATAATCTCAAACCTTACAAATGAGACAGAAGCATAACTCTTTTACTGCTCTTGGCATTGGTTAAATCTACAGAGGAAATTGAAGATTTTTATGATTCTATTAAAATTACTGTTCAACACATTCGAAGGGATGATAGTGAAACATAAAGGGCAGTGTCTCATACGCTAATGTTAACCTAGCCCTATCATTTATATTGGAATTTGACTTGACTTTCAAGCACCATTTGAAAGGTTATTGCATGTGAAACTGAATTAAGCAATACAGCTGAAGTTCACCCTTTTATAATTTAAAATAAGAATTGTATTTTTCTTCCCTCAAGTCCCCATTCAAAAATGAAAAAGAAAAAAAAAAGCGCCCCACCCTACCTCCCACCAGCCAAATCCCTGGTTTGTTAGGAGGGAGGAAAAATAAAAGCAGGTGAAAAAGGCATACCCTTAGGGCAGGGCTCTGATGCCAGAACTGGCTTATACTGGAGTGCACATTAATGAGGCAGTTTCACCTTTACACTAGAGTGCCTGAAATTAGATACTCCTCCACTCTCTAGTTTCTAAGTCTTGTATTTCCATCCCTGTCTTTATTAATTTTGGTCTGATGAAATCCTTTCCCATGCCATCCCAACCTTTACCTCTCAGACTGCTGTAGTTATTTGAAGCCCAATACCTTGATTAGCTAAGCCAGCCTGCTTCGTACGTATGAGCTGGATCAAATAACCCTGCTCCAGTCACCTCCTTAACTTTTCCAGGAATTATATGAAAAACCAACGTCCATGTCCCTGAGGGTTTGTAGCTCAGAGTCTCAGCGAATCTATGTAGTTTTTTGGTAAATAGCTTGGAAATTCTAGATTTTGCATGAAAACCTCTTAAACTGAGCGGGACCCCAGGAAAGAAGAAAATAAATCCCAGTCATCCTCATCCCGAGATGACCCCGGGAAATGCAACTTTTTAATGAGGCTAGCTAGTTCAACAGAAACTGTCAGGCTTTTCTGAGAATCTCTCCACTGCGCTCCTGCCAACTCTACCACTTTGGGCATTAATCTACCAGATTTCCAGGCAGCCGGAAAGTGCAGACAAATGGTCACTGTGCAGGCAGCGAGGAGTCAGCCCGCGCCTCTGCACAACAGCCGGGCACGCCAGAGACTTGAGACCTGTGAATATTGGCACGTTTGTGCCTGCTGTCACTAGCAGGGGAGGCAGAAACGTGTCAAGCAAACAGAATCTCCGACTCCGGCAGAGAAGACGGTGCCTTCGACGCAACGCAAAGATCGGACGGAGATAAATAGAAGGATTTATGGTCACTACGACCAGACTGTTTAATGGAACGGGGAGGAGCTGTCAGGGGTTGTCTTTATGAAGAATGATTTTTATTACACTGGGAATGGATTTTCCTAGTTGAGGTGTTCAGCACAAGTGGAGGGAATCTGGGAACAGGAAAGACTTTCCCTGAGGTTTATTTTTATTGCTTTGCCTATGGCAGTATTTTTCAAAGAATGGGTTGTTTTTTGGGGAGAAAGAGAGGAGCAGGAAAGGCAACTGGGAAAAGGTTGTAAGAAATAAGGTAAAACTTTCTTTTCCCCTAAATATGCCCCCCCCCCAACTGAAATATTTGGATTTGCTATTGGGAGACATATTAATATTTTTTAAAAGAAAGTATAGATGGATCAAATGTATTAAACTGTCTACTTAACTTCCCAACTCAAATAGCCATGTTTCCATTGTGTATTTTTATAACTGCAAGTGTGTATAAATTCACCTATCTCTATTCATCTAATTTTTTTCATGGTGAACAGTCCTGTCTCCACTCCCACAAAAGTCATGCTTCCTGTGATTTCAAAAGTAAACAAGTCCAGAGGACGTGAATGGCAGCAAATAATGTAAACAGGAATTCTCATGCTAATTGTACCAGTGCTCTGCTATACTTAGAAGTGGAAGTCAAGTCAGCGTTTGGTGGAACAAACCTCCTGCAACCAAGAAGGAAGCAGAAAAATAATCGACATACAGGTCGGTTGGTCTGCAGAGGAAATCCGAGGTGCAGTTTCACAATACATTGAATCGACAACAATATCGGTTCAAAAGTTCCCCTTCTGCCTGACCTTGGCCTTTTGGGAGGGCCTGGGAAGAGGAAAGGGTGTTTTAAAACTAGATAGTCCAGTGAACTGGTTTGTAAGTTTGGCCTTACAAAAACGTGTGCTCATACAATTGGGGAAGTGGTACAGCAAGAAAACAACCTGGGCACAGAAAGATCTCCGTGATGGAGCCATGAGGGCAGAGTTTGCTGCCAGAGCCAAAGGGGTGTGGAAGATACCACATACCACGAGTGAAATGGGGAGATAGCTATTAGCGTGTTCTTTGACTCCAGACAGGGTATTTACTTAGAGTTGGTAGAGTCAGAGTTCCTAGACAGCCTCATTTCTGGTGGGATGGACTAATTTCTTCATGATGAAACAGCGCTGGTGTCATCTCTGATTACTCCTTTCCAAGTGACGTTGCTGTGCGAGAACTGTCTCCCAAGCTCAAGCATTGCATGAGTTGGGACTTGTGAAAGGACACAAGGATTTGCATGTTGGGCGAAGGTGACAGCAATAACCATGTGGTTCAAGTTTTACTTGTTACGGTTCATGCCAAATAGCACTTTGCCATGCAGATTTTTATTGTCTTTGGTTGTGTGTTATTTCTCAGCATTTTTTGTTAGACTTACTGACTAAAGCCCAATGTTGACAGCCATCCTCAGCAACATCTATAGATGCTTCTTTGCAGGTAATAATAACATTCAGCAACACTGACATCTTGTGGCTGATGAGAAATGACTCAAATATGCCAGTTAAACCACAAACGTGTCTTCACCAATTGTGTATTCAGTATCTCCTAAAATATGGTGGTGCTTAAAGGGATGAGTATCAGAAGTCTGGAAACCAAGAGGTTAAAAAGCAAAAAAATGCATAAAGGTACTGGCTTATTAGTTGACTGGGCTGTGTGTGTCTATAATCCAGCAGCGTGCTAATCCTTCTGGCTAATCTTCTCCCTGTGAATGATTCCCTCCAGAGGACAAGGACAGAGTCTGGGATGTTTGACATGACAAATAGAAGCTGTCTCTCCCTGCAGATGATCTTCTTTTTGTTTTTGTCCTGCATGGGGAAGCTAGGAGAGAAAGTACCTCTGGAAAAGGCCCCAGGAGGAAACTTTCTTATTGGCTATTGTTGCCGCCAGAAATAAAATCAGCAAAGGCAGGCTGTGAGCCTCTGCCTCTCGGCCAGTGGAGATTTTTGGATAAAGGTGTGATAGTAAGGACTGTTTGTATGGAAGGATTTGTAGGAGCAAATCCTGGTTTGGCTGGGAAGTTGCAAACTCTTCTGCATGCTTAGGCCACTGAGGCTTAAATATACCCTATATAAAATGGTCTTATCCTTGAAGTATGGGTAGGATGAGAAAAGTCTAATTTGGACTCCTATAGTTAGTAGGGCAGTCAAAATCCTTTTTTTTTTTTTTTTGGTCTAATAATGGATGTTTGTGACTCTGTAACGTGTGATGGTCAGCCTTGGACTTTTCAGTTGCTAGCAACTTCTTGGATTGCTTCCTTGTTTGCATATGTTTTTGTTGCTAATGAACATCTGTATCCACTTTATCATCTGAACCCAGTGACGAAATGATTACTGAATGTGAAATTAAATGTTATGCAATGGTCTTTTGCAAGTATCTAGAGAACTTTCACGCTTCCTTGAGGATGCGAGGTCTGGGATTGCAAGGAGCAATGACCGTATGCTCTGCTTACAGCCTGTGCTCCTTGAAATCAAAGCAGTTGTCTGATTTGGAGCCCATATTGCATAAAATCCTTTATGAAACCTGGGGGAAGAATTCTAAAAGACCACACCTAGCTGGGGGTTGGGGTTAAATTTATTAGGAAAAGCTGTCTCGGGCTTCTGGGTCATATTTGCTAATTATTTTGGGAGGTGGGGAATAACATCCTTTTCCTAGTCCTGTAATGAATTTTCTCTTTTTTTGTTTTCCTTTGTGGTTTTTTTTTTCCCTTGCTCCTGTGAAGAGCTGCTTTGAATAACTTTACTTAGTGAGACTGTGAAAAGAAACAATAGAAATGAATGATTCTGTCATTTGTAGTGCGCTTGGCTGTCCTATGTATTGTGCCTTAGAACCTTTTAATTCAGTGCATTGTCACCATAAACCACTGACATGCACAAATGCTGTAGTTAAGTATACTATGTAAAAATTCCAATTTAAAATGGCTAGTTTGGGGAAAACCAAACCATGTTTTGAGGGGAAATACCCTTTTATCTGCTCTGTTGACTTCACTAAACAATACAAAAGATTATTCTTAGTTGATAGGAGCAATCTGGAGAAAAATCTATTATTCAATATAATTTAAAAGTGGGTATTATGGAGCTAGCAAGAGCCATTCATTCATAGTGATGTTTTTCTCTAAAACACATCTTGTTGTATTGTCTAAATATATTAAAATCTATCACACTGAATCACAGATGTTTATTTCAAAGAATAAAAAGTGCTCGATTCAGCAGAAACTTGCAGCAGTTTGCTGAGTTAGCACCTTTGAAAATGCCAGCCAACTTGGTGTGAATTTTGTTTATTTAGTCTCTGGAATGTATTATACTGACTTTAAGAAGAGTAAAGATCTCCAATCTGTACCCCTCACTTCTTGAGCATTACTTTAATGTACGATTTTCAAAATATATTTTTTTTTCATTTATCACTGACAAAAAATAAATATATGCCACTGTGTAGCACTTGGTGTTATGTGAAGGTTGGACTTGATGATCCCAAGGGTCTTTTCCAAACTAAATGATTCTATGATTCTATGATCTTTATTTACTGTTTTACATTTAGAAATAACCTTTTTTTTCATAAACCAGTAGAGGTATTGCTGTTTTAACAGCCCACACTGTGAGCTGAGCCTATCAAATTCATATGTCTTTT